TCAGGGACTACATTCTGCTGATAGTACACACTTAACACAACTTTAAGATTTAACTCTGTCAAAGGAAGGAGACGCAGTGCATCCATCAGAGGTCGGTGGCAACAGAGAAGAAATAGGCAAAAAAGAAAAGAAAAAAGAAAGGAAGGAAGGGAAGGAGGAACCTCCCAGCTGCTTCAGCTCACTCTATTACACAGCCGGCCGCCGAGACAGCAGGCGGGAAGAGGAATGAGTTTCCCCTGGACTGCTCTCGTCCATCTCGATTCCTCCCACATCAACAACTGCATCGGTGGGGGGTCTCGGCACAAGCCCCCACCCGTGGAGGCTTCATTTGCGGTGAGGAAAACCTTCAGTGATGAGAACCACTGGGTGTCTTGTAGGATGATCCTGACAGAGTCTGGCAGCTTTATTAAAGCCTTCGTCTGTCAACACTTGAAAGTTTTCCTCACGTCGTCAGAGCTCCACAACGCCAGAGAGACAAGAGATCCGTCTCATACCAGTCTCTCTGTTACATATCAATTTTCTTCAAAAATGTATTTTCAACCTCTTCCATCCTTCCTTTCTCATCAATTTAAACTTTTTCTTACAATAACATTAGGCTCAGAATACAAAGTAAAATTAATTACAAGAGAACAATAACAAAGTAGGGTCATTACAGGCGGCGAGTGCAGCCAGCCCCCCCCCCTCCTCCCACTGTATCATTTCATGTCCTAATTTTAGCTCCACTCTCAGACTGAACACTCGGTTGAAGAACCATTCACAACCTCATCAAGACTACAGTCATTTTAGCACAGACTCTAACAAAGTCAGAAATAAAGGCGGCAACTGAAGCAAAGGTCAAATCAAATCAGCACCATGGACAGCTCCAGAAGCCAGGTGACTGATTAACGAGGTGGTTTGAACGAGCACTGAGTGGATTATGTTAGTGGTTGAGGGTATCAATCACCTGGTAACTGGTGAGTGGTCCACAGGGATTAGGCTGGTCAGATTACCCCAGATTAAAATACAGATTACAGCTGTTCTATAAGGAACATATTGAGCACACTTGAATATAAACCACACCCACTAAATTTAAAAATAATTTAAAAAAATAATTGTACATATTTAGACTGCACTTCACCACATTGTACCATGGGATTTTTCTACAGAAAGATGTACAGGAAACGTCTGCGTTTCTGCGCGTGCACGTTGATGCAAAAATAGCTGAGATGAGGGTTTGTCAGTAAAAAGGCAGAAAAAAAAGACATTCTTCCAACCTACGGATTAACACTGATCACTCTCACTCTTCCTCCTCCTCTTCTTCCTCCTCCTCGTTCTATTTCCCTCTCTCTCTCTCTCCCTCACTCTCGCTCTCTCTCTCTCCGAGTGAATCAATCTAATTGCCAGCATGAGCAGGGATGGAAAGTTAGAGAAACGAAATGAGCGAGACAAAAGTACGGAGGGAGAGATATTGTTGAAGCCAGAGACAAAACACGAGAGAGCGGAGCCGATAAAAAGGTATGAGAAGAGGAGCAGAGATTAAGAGGAGGATATTTGAAATGCAGAGAGGGAGTGGGAGGGGAGCTCTAATTTCCCTCTCTGTCTCCCACTGATGAAACACTGCCTATTGTGTTGCTTTTGTCTCAGTGCTGCTGCTGCTCGTCTGCCTGTTTGTTTATCTGGGTTATTAACAAGGTCGACTCCCGGCTCTTCAGTCTGTCCAACTTAATGATCGGCGCGCACTTCACACACATGTCCATGTCAGGACACACACACACACACACACATTATATATGAGCCTGTGTACGTGTGAGACAAACTGACGTCTGCTGCTCATGACACAGGGTTTGTTTTTTATATATTTCCTACTGAAGAAAAGCTTCGCCAGACGTTATCAATGGTAATTTTTAGGGAATGTCCAATAATATCGGACGACCGATATTATCAGCCCGATACTATCATAATTATGACATATCCGCAAGAATTTGTATCGTTTTTTCCCTCCGATAATGAAAAGCCGATAATGCAATGCCTGGGTTTCGCCAAATGATGTGTGCCCTAAAAATAATTTCGGGGGAAAAACAGCTGCATGTGAAAGTGAAAGCCACCAGATGGCAGCATTGCAGCTCATATTAGTAATCTATTTTATTAGTCACGGGAATGTATGCAGAATTTCAATGCGGTCAACGCCGTAAATTCCACTCCTCACTGGCCTCAAACATTCATCCACAAGTGTCACTTCTCCTAAACTCTTAATCTGACTTCAGAGTCCAATGAGATTTCGCAGAAGTCAATGTTCAAGTTGGCAGCACTCAATTAAAGACCGTGTTGTACGTTTCATCCCGGAGGGGGCGCAGGTAACGAAACCTCATATCAGCGATTAAAAAAAAAAAAAAAAAAAAAAGCTTAAAAGCTATGAAAGGATTACGGCTCCTGACCCGTGACTCTGAAATGATTCTGCACTGATACTTTCAGCCGAGGGCTGAAGGTGTGTTAGAGGACAGGAGCCGCTCTGACACAGGAGCCGCGCTGACACAGGAGCCGCGCTGACACAGGAGCACTTAAAGTGTCGCACAGCAATTATGGACCAAAAACTGTGTATATTTTAGAGAACGGGAGAAGAGAAGAGAAGGTGTGTGTGTGTGTGTTGACACTAAAACCCAAAGCTGTCAGACTGAAACAGATTCTGTTTTTGAGCCCCAGGTTTTCAGGAATCAAACGCTGCCATGCTGTAATTTTGAAATCAGCAGTTCATAGAACTGAGTTTCTAAAGAACCTCAGGTGGAACTAATTGTTATAACCTGGTGAATTGTTCATTAATTAATTACAGACCATTCAAACCTGAGCTCCTTTATCAGTTCCCTAATTCCTGTGACACCCTGATAGACACACTCCAGCCCTGTAGGTGGCAGTAATGTACCTTGGGCTTGTTTGCCAGCCAGGTTTTTTTTTCCTTTCCTTTCCTTTCATTTCAAATTTGACATTCAGAATATTTTAGTAAACATCTCTATGGCCAAATATATGAAATAAACAACAAGATAAAAGGGTAATTCTGTGGTTCTGGAGACAGGAAGCTGGACTGGAGGAGCAGAGAGAATGTTCAAGGGGAGAAAGTGAAGCATTAGGCGCAGAGGACGGTGTGAGCTGGTGGTGTTTCACATGTCAGTGAGAGAGGAGAGAGCTCTGATAGCAGGAGGACAGACAGACGCAGTAATAAGCCTCCTCTTCTCTCTGTTATTTGTTGACTCGCTGATCTCTTTTCCTGTTATCTTGTCAAAAAGAAAAGCACAAAAAAACAAAACAAAAATACTCTCGCCTCACCTTTAAGATGAACACCGTGCTCTGAGAAGCTAAATGCCACTATGATGTTTGTTTGGTTATTTTTACTCCACAGAACCAAACAACACCGGTCACAGTGTGACGACAGATTAAAGACGTCCGCAGAGAAGACGAGGACGAGGACGAACGAACGAAGAACCAGAATCAATCGGAGGAAATGGGAGTCTCGCTGTGGGTTTTTTTTTTTGTGTGTGTGTGTGTTTTACTATGTTATTTTACAGCACATTCTCCAGGTCACAGATAAATGTTTTCACTACAGACACCAACACAGCTAGGTCTGCTTCAAAGTTTCCATAGCAACAGCTAAACCACAGGAGCCTGTGGTTTAGTTGGCCCGCTGTAGTCGTTCAGATTTCTGTTTTGTTTTTTATTTTAAACATCAATATTTTCCCTCCGCGGTCTCTTTATACGGAATCAGACTCAAATTAGAGCTAAATAAGTCTATCAGGGGTCAGAGGTCAACACAATTATATTTAATAACAGATGTGTAAATACCAAGGAATAATAAATACACACAAGTACTTCAACAGATACTGAAGACCTGTTGAACCTTTTCTTCTGGTTTAGATTAGACAAGACTTCATTAGTTCACTAGGCTACATCATTAGTCTGGATTATTAGTCTAGAATACTGGACTACATGTCTAGACACGACCCAGTGCCTTTTGTTTTGTGAACGCGGCTGCAGCGTTTTCGTTTTGTTCGACCCAATTCCCCCACTAATGGTTTGTGAAGCACAGTTTTGTGAACCACGGTGTGGTGACGATCACCGACACTTATACATCTAATACATTTCATAATGTAATATTTGTAAATATACTGCTCTTAATAAAAAAAGGTCAAAGGTCACTTAAATAAATAAAAAATGTTGTTGATCTTTTATTTTGAACTCCAGGAAACTTACGAAAACTGCATATTTTATGTTTTTTTTTTTTCTATGAGAGATATCTCTCTCTCTCACACACATATAAATATATATTTTTATATATTTATATGTGTGTGTATCTGTTAAAGGCAGGTCAATTAGGTGAGTGTTTACTAGGCTCCCTGCCTGTGGCACTCCTGCTATTGAATCAATACTTGGCAGCCACGCAGCATGCCATGGTGGCATCACACCGAACCCACAACCCCCCCCCCCCCCCCCCGTCTGTCAATCATTCACCTCTCTCTCTCCGTCTTCTCTCTCTCTCTCTCATATATCTTCGCTCCAATCCTACCGTCCTACGACCGCACCGTCTCCTCTGCCTCTGCGACTCAAACATTAAGTGCATCCTCACGTCTCCGCCTCAAAAGAGAGAGTCTTGGTGGAGTGAGTGAGGCGGAGTGACAAGCCCGCTAACAACCTAATAAACTGCATGCCACAGAGAGGGTGCAGTCATCTAACGGTTCAGACATGCCAGCTGGAGAGAGGCTGGAGATAAATGAGTCGCTGACTGAATTACAGTAAGTGCTGTGACTCAGCAACATATTGCACGTGGGCACATGGTTGGTGTATCCTAATGTGACCGGTGTGAAATTGCGATGTGCACCGCTGCAGGGGCGCAGCGTCTCGATGGCTGCTGGATTATTAACTTTTTACGGCTGGGTGTTTATTAAAAAAACAAATGTTCTACCAAACGCAGGTTGAAGGAGCGCACGCCTCCACACGGGGGAGCAGTTATCAAAGATGTTAGCTCAGTGACTCACGGCGTGACTGTGTGGTCTCCAGTACGTCTGGGTGGCCTTGTCGTAGTGACGCTGCATCCGCCTGTCGCTGGGTCGGAGTAAAGAGGGGGCCCTCTGTTGGTGGCACTGGCACCTGACATGGTGAGTCGCAGCAGCCTGTCAGGACAGGGAGGGACATGTAGGTGCTGATCAGTAGGATTCTTCAACACAAATGTGCCCTGAAGTCAGAGCGTTGTCGCGGCTGTCGCTCTGTTTCACTTTAACTAACAATGACTCGTTGGTGACTGTAATGTGACCTGCTGTCAGACAGCTGGGTTAGAAAAGAGAGATTCAACTTTGTTTATCCCAAATTCAAAACCAAAAAATAAATAAAACCACACATATTAATATATACACATATATACAGACACACATTTTTCATATTTAACCTCTATTCATACAGCTGGTCTCATTGAGAAATTACAATGTATTATACGTATATATATATATGTACACATATGCGCGCATATATTCACATAAACATATATGATTACATGCTTATTTTATTTATATTTCTTTGCTTTGATTTGCTTCGATTGAAAAAGATGAAGCTCAGTAAAAGAAAACTATGACGAATTTATTAAATCCACGTTTGAAACAGTTTGTTTTTCAGCCCAAACAGAGAGAAAATAATGACTGAGCTGCATCTGCAGCAGTGAGAGCAGAATCCAAAACTTCATTTTGTCAAGTACGACAGAAGAATCTGCCTTCCGAAACTTCATTTTGTCAAGTACGACAGAATCTGCCTTCCATCTGTGATCGCTCCGTTTCTCTCTCTCTCTCTCCTGTTATTTCATTTTTCACTCTCAGCCCTCGCTCACTCTCTCAAACACACAGTGTTTCTATATTGACTCCCTCCTCTCTCCTCCCCTCACACACACACACACACACACACACTCTACCACTATTGTTTTTTTCATTACTCCATTATGTTCAATTCAGTCAATCCCGTTCCTCCGTCTCCCAGCGTTTTCTTTTCTCGTCTCACTATGAATTTTCTTCATTACTGATTATTTGTACCGACAGAAAAATGACTGTTTCGACGTCAAGGACAAACTGTTAGCTTCTCACTCTTCCTCCTTCAGACTTTAAGGACAGCTCCAGCTGGAACAGAAGTGTTTCTCAGATGGGGATGGCTTTTTGCTGTATATCTGCATATCTTTTATCATCTTTTGGCAACGTTTTGGATTTTTATTTCAATATTTTTTCAACAACTTTTTGCACATTTTTATTTGACCAATTCCCAGTCCAATATTCCTGGTGTTGGTTCTTGTTCTTTTTCTTTTCTTTCTTCTCTAGTGATTCCAAATGTAGATCCCTCTGTTCCAGTGTTAGGAACTGATGTTCAGATGGAACAGAGTCTCAGACTATGATGATGAAAACTCAATATATCGTAGTGCCTATAGTATCGCAGTATATCGTATTGCCAGATTTTCGCAAATTCACACCCTGAGATCTGAGACAAAACAGAAAATGTTCTCTGATGCTGTGATGGCGACTTGTTAGTTGTTTTATTTCCTGCTGTGTTTTTTTTCTTCTGTTTTGCTCTTGCAGTGTGATCGAATATATTGTCAAAATTAAAGTAAATGAATCCAGTCTGGTCCAAACGCAGTGGTTTCTGTTTCCAGTCTGTGCTGCAGAGGCAACGACGTCATGAAAACACAACAGGGATTGTTTCTTCCCCTCCTAACCCCAACCACAGGTGCTGGGGCACCGAGTCAGCACCAGACTAAAGTCTCACTGTTTGGTCTCTGATCATCCTCCTCTTGTTTCCCCCAGAACCATCTGTATATTTCCACTCTCTGCTCTCATTAGACTCTGGCACAGATGCGAGGAGATGCCTCTTTGTGTGGATCTTTGCCGGTGGAAGGTGAGGGGGCAGCAACATCACGCTGATGTGAACAGCGTGCTGTGGGTGGGAGCTAATTATAATTGGAGTGATTTCGTGCTGTGGGAAGAGAACGGTGAACAGCCTCAGCATTGACACTTTGGTATTTCAGGGGAATGACAGAGATTTGAATAATGTCGGGCAGACGGAGGCTTGTTTGGATAACAAGGAAGTCGGAGCAGACGTAAATGAATGTTAGAGCGGAGATGGAGCCACTTAAAAGTGAAGAGAACCCAGTTCATCCAGAGCTGGTTATAAAATATGCCCCTCCGTACGCTGTATGGGTGTCTCTCTTCTCACTTCACTGGGCCACAAAGCGCAGACTTATTAAGGCTAATTTCTCCTCTCCTCCTCTGTTTTTCTTTCCTTTTTCATGTTCTCCCTCAGTGAGATCTGATAAAGCCGAAACTGGTGTAAAGAAAAGATAATCGAAGGCAGCGGTTGTGCTTAGCTACGCTGAACTATCTCAGATTTGTCAACAGGAAGTGGTGCCAGTGACGCCGGGCTACAAAGAGAAAAAGAAAAAGGGAAAGAAATAAAGAGAGAGAGAGACAAAGACACAGAGAGAGAGAGAGAGAGAGAGACAGTCCTGCACCAATATAACCTTCAGATTCTCCCATCACCTCTGACATCCACGGTTCTGTGTGGAACGTCTGAATCCTGTGACGACAGAAGTCACCGTCGGTGCAGTCGTTTTCCGAGCGTCTGTTTTACCGTCTCAGAATTTTTAAGGATTGATGTATTTTATTTTTCAAACGTCTGATCAGGAAAATGAAGCCAGTCTTTGCCTTTTTGCTTGAGCTCACGATGACAATGTCACCGCGGCCGAGGTTTACAGAGCCTTTCTGGAAACAGCACACAGACTCCGAAAAACTAAGAGTGGAATTAAAACGGAAATATTCACTTAAGAAACTGACATTCGGTGTAAAATGTCAGCGTGAGAACATTCTACCAGATTTAACTGGATTAGTTTGGGAACCGAGATTAGGATTACAAGGAAAATCTGCTAAAGACATTTGTGGTGGATCCCTGATCCCTGGTCTGAAGGTTTTTAGACTCTGGAAGGAACTCGGTATCCAGTATCCAGAACTGGTACTTGTTCTGGATACTCCATAAGTATTCTTTATAAGTTCTCTCCTGGGAACCAATGAACATCATCCTATTAAACTCTGAAACATAATAATAATCATTCTCACTCTTCAAAAAAAAAAGATTCTTGTCTACAAATACCAGTAAACATAGTCCTTCAAGTTTCTACATTTGTACTGCAGTACACATTTGAAAGTCCCCACTTCAGAGCTTTTACTTCCACAGCCACTCACCGACTGTTGTTGCTGCAGCTGTTGACACTGCAGCGTGAGTCGAGCGATGGTTTCATCTCGACCACTCAGCTCCTCCTTGAGAACCTGCACCTCCTTCATCAGCTCCTCCGTCTGAACACGTACAGTTACAGTCTCGTCACTCAGCAGCGTGGACACAATCATTTTGTTTGTTACAGTCTTATGTTGGAGCTAAAGTTTTTTTGTTTTTACAATAATCTGACCATGAAAATTCTCCCTCGATCTTAATTACTTTCCAGAAAATAACCAAACAAAATCATTGTTTTTTGTGTCAAACTCAGTCACTCAACGGGCTGAAGACTCAGTCTAAGCTGTGGAAACATTTGAACATTTGAACGTTGAACAGTCTAGTGCTGACACAACATTTGGCACCATAAGGCAGGCCACATTTGGGCCGCGGGCCTTGAGTTTGAGATATGTGGTTTTACTACGCCCTGGATGTCATCACAACACTGGCCTCTGAAATAATGAGCTAGAAATGTTTTTCTAGTCATGATCAGTGGAGTAGAGAGATGTTTGTTTGTTTGTTGTTGTTGTTGTTTACCTGTGAGGCTGGTTTTTTATCTTCCGTTTCTTCAGAATCATCGACTTTAGAGTCCGACTCGTCCAGCTGGAAAAACAAAACAACATAATTTACACTATGTAGAAGTCAATGTTTATCATTAAAATACATATTTGTATTAACACTGTATAACATTATACAGTAGCAGTTTTGCAGTTTGTCTTGGTTTATTAATATGAATTTGACACTGTTACCACAGCATTAGGTGTAAAAAAAAAAAAAAAAAATCAACACTGTGAGTTAAATTAAAAAAAGAAACCGAGTAAGAGAGTTATTTCTTTCAGGTCATAAAGGAGCAAAAAAACATCTATTCAAACTGTAATAAGAAAAAAAATAAAATCTCACTAATGCAACAAGTTGACTGTCAGGTTATTTCTGTGAACTAATGTATCTGTGAATTGACTCTCCATTAATCACACTGCAGAGGATACTGCACATCACAACATTTTCTTTTTTTATATTGAGCCCATTTTCTTATCTTTCCGCCCAGAGAACGAGCAAATACTTCCCCAGATATACCGTCTCATTTATCTGACTTCATAACTCACTGTCTGTACGGAGAGAGGTTTATCTTTTTTAGGTTGTAACATCTGTTCAACATTTTTTTTGTTGCAGTTCTTTGCGGAGCCTGAATGTACAGATCATCAGAAGAAGAAGAGAACCATGAAATATTTAGATTTGAATCCCAGCGTTTTCAACATTTCGACAGTTTCGACCTTGTGTGAATAGTGAAAAGATCCGAGGTCTGTCTCTCGCCGCGGTTTTATCATCACCTGTTATAAGAGAACCTCGCATCTCTGAGTCTGCAGTAATGATGAAAAAGCAGCTCAAAACAAATTCATTTTTACGTGAAGTTGACATAATCGTAATGTGATGCAACAGCTCTGCACTGACTGAACTGTGAACGCGTGTGTTTTTGTGCTAATGAGGCTCAAACCTGCAGCAGCGTCTTCAGCCTCAGCAGCTCGTTCTTCAGGGAGTTACAGTCCTGAGTCATGTGTTCCAGCGTGAGCTCGTCCAGCACCGCTGTGTGGCCCAACTGTCGGCCTTCACCGGCCCTGGAACAGGAAGGTTTGAGTCCATCGTACTGTTGGAAGACCTGGGCCCTGTGAAGACGACGGAAGACGGAAATCACAGGATGAAACAGAGCAGCGAGACGTCAGCGAGTTTAACCCTTTCAACTGTTTAACTGTTCAACCTGTCGTTGTGAAATCGATCCGATCCGCCCCAGCGCTGGTGTTTACGTCTCTGTCCCTGACGTCCAGACCTCTCTGAGCGTTCACTGTACGACATGCTGTCTAGATCTGTACAGAAAACAAACCAAAAATTATAAAAGCTGAAAAAATACAACAGTCATGTTAAAAAACTAGAATGTCTGTCCATCTGTAGGGATGCTGCCCCCTGTCTGTGTTTTCTCTTTTCACATTGTACTATGTTTAATGTTGACGCGAAGGAAAGTTCATGGATGTCAGTTTTCATAAAAGTTTCAGCCAAAATCTCATTCAAATCATTTCTATATTCACTGAAAACATGCAAAGAAGAAAAACTAAATAAACAAAAACACACATAAAAACAATGCCCAAAGTTTGGCTTCAAATGTAACAAAAAACACACATTATAAAAACAATGCCCAAAGTTAGGCTTCAAATGTTTAAAAATGTGTTGTGTTGTACTTTTTGTTGTTTCTGCCTGTTTCACAGCGCCATCTGTCTGGAACAAAAAACACACATTATAAAAACAATGGCCAAAGTTAGGCTTCAAATGTATAAAAATGTGTCTGTTGTACTTTTTGCCTTGTTTTGTTTTACAGCGCCATCTGTCTGGGATTCTCTGCAGGAGCTGGGTTCAATAAATGTTTTTTAAACACTACTGATAAAAATTTAAATTTTAAAATGCTGAGGGTGAAACTCTGATATTCTGACATCACTACACTCTCGTCTCCACCATTTACTCCAAACCAGCACAAACACAGGAAATGACTGAAATCCTAAAGTTGATTTTCCACACGCCGGTGATTTTGAAGCCGAAAAAAACAAAACAAACAAAGTTGTACTGAAAGAGCCAAAAACAAACAAAGTTGTACTGAAAGAGTACTGGCTTTAAAGAACTCTGGAGAAGTGGGTAAAAATACTTCACCCCCGGTGTCACAGCACGGCAGCAGGCGGTCTGTGCCACACGCAAAAACAACTCCATTTCAGCTCAGTGAAGACGTCCTCTCTGAGGGAAGACGACAGGCAAGAATATTCCGAGCAGAGACGAAAAAATTCCTCAATGTGGGAGACGGAAAGTGGAAAAGAAACGACTTGTTGTCCAGTCAGCTGTTTAGCAGTTCAAGCAGCCAGAGAGGAATCAACTCAGACTCTCTCTCTCTCTCTCACACACACACATTGCTTAGTTCTGTTTGTTGACAGCCTTGTTTTTCTGGGAACTCCCTGGGAACTGGAGCTGTGGTGGGAGAGTAGCTGAGGTTTTCATCCAAGTTTTGGTAGTCACCCTCTCTCTCAGGGAGGGACGGGAGGGAAGGGAGGGAAACTGGGGCCTCTCTCCTGTCAGGGGACATGGCAGCTGGATGAAAACACTGCACCAGGACAGAAAAGACTCGCACTCTCTTTCTCTTCTTTGTTTTGCTGTGAGACTTGGGGTGTCTTCGAGGGGAGGGGGGGTTAGTCTCCATGTCACATCTTACACCTCCGGTCCAGCCTTAGGGGAGTGGACTAACTGGACTTCACAGACTTCACACACTCCTGCCAGAGACACAGGCTGGAGCCGTGACAGCACCGACTATAAATATCCCTTTCCAAAAACAGAGCAGGAACAGGTTACACTTCCATTCAAACTCCAGCCCCCTCACTCTGACCCCCACCCTGGAAATAAAACAACTTCCTGTGAAACCTTCAAGAAAATTAAAAATAAGGAAAAAGTCTTTATCCTCCATCTTTGATCTTTTCTCTCTAATAAAACAAAAAAGAACCAAACCGTAGAAACCAGACTAAAGTATTTGGTCGTTTTTTTTCTTTTTCTTTCTCCAAAACATACTGCTGCCAACAGAACCACAGCCAGGGTACACAGCCTTCCTTGGCTCAGTTGGGCTGAGTTAAAACCAGCTGCTTAGACAAAACAGGTAACAACCAGCAGGGGGAGACGGGTTCTGACCCAGTGTTGGAGACAAAGTCCTCCTCTCCGGCCTCTACAGTGGGGTCTCAAGGTTTTCTCCTCCAGCTGCCCATAAACTTCAGACACTAACACAGGTGAATTTATAGAGACATTACATGAAGTTTTCACCCCGCCCCCCCTTGACAACCTGAACGGACGACGCTGCGAAGTCACAGCTTTGCTTTGTGTTGTGTAAAAATAGAACGATGTGTGATTGCTGACTGAGGTAATGAGGGTGCAGCAGCGACGACACCGTCACCGTCACAATCAGCAGCGATGTAAACTGTGATCTCCTGCTGAGACTGTGTTCGCGTTAACACGGAGAACCTCAGCAGAGGTGGAACTTCACCGCGTCGTTTACAGCCGGTGATTTAGTGACTCTCCATCCTCAGAGCGGCACAACACTGTTGTTCATCCCTGAGATTTTAACTGATACAGCAGAGACAAATCCCACTCCCCTACCCTCAGGGGGGGCCTGATTAACGCAACACTGTGGAGGAATTCTGCTGACAAAGGCAGGCTTAAACCTCGCTAATGCATTCATTTACAATTATGAACATAGCAATTTTGCCGGAGGTGTCGACTTATACAAAATTAATAGACAATCTCCAGTGGAGGAAGCCGCATTAATCGCCATGACCGGTGAATGACCTCCCTGACAAATGTAAATTCTGTGTGGGATAACTGGGATTAGACAGAGTTTCCTGCCTCTGTGTGTGTGTTTGTGTGTGAGTGAGTGTGCGTTCACCGTAGAAATCGTCCTCCAGCAGGTCTGCATCCAACATGAGGTCGTCGTCGTCCAGCTCTCCCGCTGCTCGAGGTTCCAGGTTGTTGATGATATCCTGAGGTCAGACGGACATCAGAGGTAACAGAGTGAAACACTGAGACACACACGAGACACATGTAACAGAGTGAAACACTGAGACACACAAGACACACATCATCATCATCAGTTAATTAAGGCTGTTGTGTTGAACGTTTGTCTAATAAAAAATAAAAAAAAAATTCACAATTAAGTAAAAAACACGACATGACGCCGACTTTTTCCTGTCATTCTAAATCCAAATGTCTACGTCATAATGTGAACTTTTTCAGCACATAATTAATTCAATATATTAAATTTAATTTGGACTTTTTTTCTTATTTATCTCCATGAGTTTTCATGAGGTTTTTTCTAAAAAGTATTAATGTTTGAATTTCTACAACTAAGAGCAGTTTTAATGATGGCTTTTTTTTTCCCAGGAAAAGGTTAAGGAAAAAAAACTGTGACTTGTATATGTTTAAATGAAATGCGTAAATAAAAAAAACTCATTTAACAACTTCAGAAAACATGACAGAAATGTTCAAAGTGAGGACACAGCAAAAATTATTGGTCAATATTTCAAAGCTTTTATTTATATTTCTGCCTAATTCTGTGCTTCAATAAACTGGAATGACTGGATTTTAAATAAATAAATCAAACCTATTAAGTGGTGGAAAAAAAACCTCATCTGTGCCTCATGAATGAGCACAGTTTTATCTTAAGGAAGGAAGGTATAATATTCAGAAAGAAAAAAAAAACACACTGTGTGTGATATTCAAATTAGCATTGAGACAGAAACCTCTGCTGTTTGAAGAGATCAGGATGAAATAAAAAAAATAAAAAACTCGTCTCTCCTTTCACCTCAGCCTCTCTGGATGAAAGGTTCTCTGCGCAGAAGAAGAAGAAGAAACAACACGAGACCACGCCGTTCTTTTACTGAAGGTGAGGCTCTCTCTCTCTCTCTCTCTCTCTCCACAGAAATGTTGAGTGTTACACTCACACATTCTTGGCGTCAGGATCAAGAGAGTAAGTGCATCCTCCTTCTCCGCCCCCCGATAGGTCGACCTTGTGTTACTAAAACCGCCGACATCTTTTTTTCCACCAGTTTTATCATCACGCCTTCGACTGGGTCGGATTTTTCAACCCGTGAAAATCTGAAACTTTCTAAACCAAGATAAAACTCTCTTTTTTTAATTGACCTAATCCTACTGGATTACAGTCCTTAGACCAGACAGAGGAGCATGTTGTAACCTGGGGTCAAAGGTCACCATCCAGAGTTCTATAGATAGGGAATTCTTTTTTTCCAAAATGTTATAATTTTTTTATTCTTGCTGCAAATATTTTACAGACAAGGATAATGAGATTAAATACTGATGAAAACATTCAACATTCGTGGCGAAAGGTCGGACTTTGACCTCTACCCTCGACAACCCGAGTGTGAACGACACATTTGCTCGGTGAAAATTACAGCTGATTCCACAAATCCCGACGCGGCCCATTACTTTCTCTGAGAGTATCTTTTTGGGATCTGTGCTCCACTCGAGGTTTCAGTGGTTTGACTGTAAATGAGCAGCGCAGAAGTCAAAGGAAGCAGCTCCGGCTTTGGCTTCTGTCACACGACTTCAAACACGCACCAACTTCAACAAAAGAAAGTGTCAGGGTGATGTTGTGAGAACGACTGTACTTGTTCCTCTCTTACATTCTTGTTCTGTCCTGAGTCTTTGCCCTTCTGTTTTAAATTCAAACAAAAACTAAAGCAGAGCTAAACCCTCAGGAGTTCAAACGAAGCCTAACTCGTACCATAATCACAAGTATCATAAGTTAATTGAAGGTTAAAAATACTTATAAGTACGGTATAATGTGTACATTTGTTAAATTGTAAATGAAAAAAGGACACTTTGTGTCTTGAGTTTTTTTGTCTTTTTTACTACTAAAATATTCTCTTTAGTTCGTCGTCTCACTGCAGTTTGATTTCGATGTGAAAATTAAACTTTGTTTTTTTTAAAGGACAGATTAATGAAAAAAAAAAAAACATCTTTAAAACCAGGTTTCTTTTCAGTGACAGTAATAAAGGTTTCAAATTTGTCGCGGACGTTGGTCACAGAACGCCGTCGCGTCGTAATAACGTCCGTTCAACCTTCAAGTTACTGAAGGCAGACAGTGAGGCCGAAGAAGTCGGTTTGATTTCTGTTCCATCGTAAACCTTCAAAGAGTCAAAACTTAAACTTTACTTACAAGTTCAAAGGAATCGTTGTGTGTTTGTGTGTGTGTGTGTGTGTGTGTGTGTCAGGCAGACACTGACTGTAGGTGGAATTTCACTCATGAATATTGTAGACTCAGTCACAGAGCTCTGGGTGGAGAAAATCTGTAAACTTGGTGAAATAGTCTGTATTTTTCTATTTCCTTTTCCTTCTCAAATGAAAACTTAAACTGTAATTCTCAGTGGTCTAAAGCCCCCTCCCCCTCCTCCTCCCCTTCACCCGCTCTCCCCCCACAGGTCTGGGGATCTGGCAAACTAAAAGCAATTATTGATCAGGGAAATTAAGATAAATACAAACCCTGCGTTTGCCAAATGTAGCCCCCCGGTGTGAAACTTGGAGAAATAAAATAGAGGGCAGTGAACGCACCACTGATCCCAGATTATACCAATGTTACGCTTCATATATTTTATAAGTCATTACTTTCTTTACTACATCTGACAGGAGTAAAAAGGATATCCAGCTACGGCTCTATCCCTTCCAGGACCTTGTTCCTATTATGCACAGGAACAATAATAGAGGCAGCGACGAGGTTGTAAATGTTTAATTAATTGTCTAATGAGTGATAGCAGCTGCAGAGGCAAACCGAAGGGATGAGCATCAAATCAGCGGAAATGTTCCCCCCCTCAGGTTTACACCTCTTATTTATTTTTGCTGGGATGCTGGATGTTCATTTAAAAAAAAAAACAGAAAGAAAGATCTGAATGTTCACGCTTCACATTTGTATTTGCAGAATGTCTGCACTGTTCACACACACACACTCACAACAGACTGTGCTGTTTATTTATTTACGCTCTACATTAGTGCCATAAAAACAGATAATTCAGTTTGGCTCAACATTTTGGCTTCACTGTTGTCACTGCGGCTGCATTCGCTCCAAAAACTGCTGCTCGTGCCACGACACTCGACTAAAGACTGTTGTTAGTGCTGCTACGGTTGTACTTAACACTGTTGTTAGTGCTGCTAACCACGTTTGTACTACGACCTATTGTTAGCACTGTTAAATTTGTTGACTACATTTGTCGTGGCTGCTGCTGTTATTTTTGCACTTTAAATCTGTATTTACTGCTGCTAAATTTGAACTAATGGTCGGAAAAAAATAACATTAAGAGAAGATTAGTTTGGATTAGTTTAAATTAGAAGTTGTCCTGTTCACACACTAAGTCCGTTCTTCCCAACTTTTTGGGGCTGTGGCAAAAATGTGACAAAATGTAGATGAAATTAATTATTTAAATCTCTAGTTTCAATTAACTCCCTTTTTTTTTTACTCAGTGTGAAACCTGGGCCGGTTTAGTTGAACACAACACTACTACACTCACAGGAATTGAAGAAAAACACACATAAAGATCTTTTCGACAGCAGAGTCTCTCTCTTTTGCAATTTTTTATAGCTATCTGCTGCCACCTAGTGGAGGAAAATGTATCTATTTTTCACACCAATTAAGTGAGATTGGATCATTTTGCCAGACCAGTGGTGCAGCGGTTGAGAATAACTGCACCAAGTCTTGGTCGTCCATAAAACATTTTCTCGTCTACGTCAGCTTTGTTTTCTTATCAGGTAAAAAAAAAAGACACCTATTTAACATTTTCAATTTGCGAAGGGGTGAGCGAGTGTTTTCACCAGGCAGCGCAGTAACGAGCAATAATAAAGCAGGTCATGACTGCGATGTAAAAACTGGAGTGTAGGCTGTAATTTGGAGGGTGACTCAGACCACTGTCATTACAGTGGTGGGAAATTATGCACAAGACTATGAGCTGATGGAGGACAGCACGGAGGGCGTCAGTGACTCAACCAAGCTTTGTTCAGCTTGAAGGGCTGTCGGAGTCAATAAAAATCAAGACAAATAAAAAGCAGGTGAACTCCCGGCCTGATTAATGCCACATCACCACACCGCTCTTTGGCAACATGTTCCATAAACACCTGAACGCTCCGAAGACAAAAGGGCTTAAGCGGCGCGCTTGCTCCGACGCTAATGAACTGACCCGTCTCCACCCGGCTACACAAAAGAGCAAAAGTAGAGACAAAAAATAAATCACGCTTCAAAAAAGAGGCAAAATGACAAACTAGGAGAGGAGAAAAACAAAGAGAGAGAGGATAAGGCCAGATTACTGTAATGATGGTCAAAGAGAAAAACATTTTGGTTTTTTATCCACAAAACCAGTCATTTAAAACTGAGAAAAAGAATCTTAAACAAACTTGTGGAAAGAACAAAGGTATTATCAGGGGAAGAAAAGAAAAAAAAAATTTTTTTATTCCTATTCTTGAAAGTGAAGATTGTTTGATTATTTAACAATTGAAATTCAATTTTAAAAGAGACTTTTTTTTTAACGTTGATCTAATGACAGTTCATCAAATGCTGTGAGTATTTACTTCTCACTCATGTCACAGGATTTTCTGTATATGGGTAGGAAAAAACCTTCTTATTAAGTAAAAAAAAAAAAAGAAAAGCCACAACAACGACAACGCTCCAGTTCTTAACAGGTGTTAACTCGTAGGTTCATTTATTTAGCACAGGGATGTAGCAGCTAGTTCTCTCATCAGCTAATGTGAAACACCTGGTTGAACTTTGTTTTTTTTTCATGTTGTTGACATTTATCACAAACACAGCAACACTGTCATCTCTGTCGTATTTACTTCATGTTCACAATAAGATTATTCTCTGACGGTGAAGGGGAGAAGTTAGTGGACGCTCTGCTAATGTCGGCGACGTGTAATTTTCATCATCTCATGTTCACAATAAGATTATTCTCTTAGGGTGAGGGGAGAAGTTAGTGGACTAACAGTGGAATAATAGTATAATATTATTATAATATTATATATAATAATTATTATTATAATAATATAGAATAATAATAGTGGAAGTAAGTGCACTGCTAATGTCGGCGACGTGTAATTTTCATCATCGATCTTCTTTTCTTAGACGAAAAACTTGGATAATGAGTTGGATAATGAGGATAAGAGCCAATCAGAAGACGGTATGAAGACAGAGGCGGGAATACTCTGGTCCAGTTTCTTGAACGTAACGTTGGAAACTGTGCGGAGCGAAGCAGATAATTAATGTAAACGTAATGTTTGTGTGTGTGTGAGTGTGTGTGTGAACTAGGTATATTTACACACACACACACATAAACACACATATATGAAGACGGCGACAATATGTTAGTACCAGAACAGATGTGATTTTTCTCATTTTCTTCTTCTGACATTTAAAGCAAATGTTAAACACTGCGTGTGTTTCTTGTCGGTGTCTCCGCCTTTTTATAGACGCCCTCTGCTCTGTGTTGTTGCTCATGAGTTACTGGGCAGATCAATTGATCTCAAGTGCTTATACTTAAAGAGTTTGGATAATTAGCTGATGCCCGTCCTCCTGAACTGCACTTGAATGGCTGCGTTACGGTAAACAACCACCATGAGAAGAACCATTCCGTCTCACCAGGCCAGTTCTCTACAGCCGTGCTGCAGTGGTGCATCATGGGAACGTATGGGAAGCAGAGCTAGTCCTCAGCTTAAGTCCAACACAGAGGCGTATGAATGCAGACACAGCTTCGTGCTGCCAGAAATTACTGGCACACGCACAACACGGGCGCACGCGCAATCTCTGTGCCGTTACAAGGATGCACAGTGCCCCCAAGTGGACCGACAGCGCAACTGCAGCGTGGAATGAACACACACACACACAGACCTGAAGATCAAAGTCATTCTATTATCCAGTACAAGACAATATATTTTCTCCACAGAGGTTCTTTCTTTGTTGTCTTTTCTTCTCTCCGTGTGCCATTACTGAATCATTTGTTTTTTCTGATATACTAAGGTTAGATTTGGTGTCGGTTTTTTTCCCCTCATCATGCCATTCAAGACAGAAGGTTTTATTCTCCCGTGAAAGCAGCAGAAGAGCAGTCTCCTGCAGAAAACAACTGTGTCTACCATACATTCAGCAAAGAACAAGGAGATGCACATTAACCAATCACAGATCATGTGTGCGTGGATGAAAACCTGAAAATTCTGTTTCATCCTGGTCACACTAATATAATCCAGTCACAAGTGCTTTGTGACTGGATTATATATGTGGTTTCATCTCCTCACTATAAGAAAGGATTCGCTCGAGGAAAAGAGTGAGGCAGAGCAAACAGATGGACACTGAGGAGGAGAAAGTGGGCGGGGCCAAGAGGGTTGGACGCATCCAATTACAGTAAGTGGGCCCATTTCCTCTAATCGTACGGCTCAGTTAAATATCGCCGAGGCAGATTCCCAATAGAGCGGATCTTCAAACGTCAGCGATCAAACTCTCCGTCCTCCTCTTCAGACTTTAACCTTTCCTCCTGACATTGTTTGGCTTCCACTCGAGCTCAGTGTCAACACTTGGACCGAAGCATCCGTTTCCTCCGTGACAGATGGCTGACAGGAGCGACACAGTCTCATGTGAGATAACTGTGGTGGGACTCTTCACGGGACTTGAAGGTCATGGGATTTTTTTTTTTCTTTTTAAATACAGGTTCAGGGAACTGTTGAGTTTTATTTTAATCTGCTGAAACTGAAACCAATGTGAGTCTTTAGTCCCACTCACAGCAGATTAAACCTAAACCAGTAACAAACTGATTTAACCATGGACAACGTGAAACTGAGAGGACGGCCAAAAATAATATCTGAGGAAGTAGTTTGACATCTCTCTGAATTACAGGGATCATAAAATGGTACAATAACAAACTCCAAATCAGACACAAACACACACACACACACACACATAAACCCTTCCACAGGCTGAACACACCCGTGTGTGTGTACAGTGTGTACATATACGTAGCATTAGTTAGTTTTTGGCTTCATTCTACTTTATAACGTGCAGGTAAAATTCCGTGTCCTGGTGCATTGCCAGTTTGCAATGTTCAGTTTTCACAAGTGTATGCGCTGCCCCCTTGTGGCCATAACGCCAAACTGATAAAAAGGAAAAACAACAAACTCAACTTACTGTCTGAACAAATACAGTAGTCACAGCAGCAGATGTAAAAATAAACTCTCTCTGTCTCTCACACACACACACACGCTGATAATTTTTTACATTTCAGTCTGACTGATTGACTGAAGCATTTTAATACGATTAACGCATCACACTGCAGCTTGCATCGGCCATTGTACGTCAATATCACATGGTATGTACATGTAGAACAAGGCTCATTATATCACCTCTAATCCTCTCTCCTGAGATCAGGTGCCGTGGTACAGGAACACACAGAACCACAGCAGAAAAGCAGAACATCTACATTAACCCACATTTGTGAGAGTGAGAAAAAACTCTTTCTGAGAGCTGGCTGCAGATCAAGAGCTTTAATTCCTTTTCTTTCTTAGTATTTCATTACTGTCACTAATTAACAAAGCAGTGTTAGGGCAAAAGGGTTTCAATTTTTATGACATTAAAATAAATTATAAACCTCTACTATAACAGGTATCTCCCTGTCATCTGACTCAGGTTATTTTAATAAGATTCTAATTTAGAAAGACTAAGTTTCTAAATCTGAACTCTGGAATCAACATTCACCATTTTTAATTCTTTACAGACACAGATACCATTAAATCCAGATGTGAAAAATGATAATTCTGCCAGGAAAAGCAACAGGAGGAATCTGGAATGTGATGTAAATCTCACTGCAAGAATCACAGGGAATGTCTGATAAACAATTGCATTGGATATTTTAATTAGGCAAAGAGAAATGTTTGGGGGTGAATTTTGGAAGAGCTTTTTTTTTTACTGACTATATATATATATATATTTTTTTTTTTTTCTGTCTGTAGCATCTGTGACATGGTTGGAATAAATCCTCCCAATGTCCCAGAACTTTAACTATTCCTCTGTAACCTCTCCTCCTCGAAAACTCTACTGCACTTGGATAAACTCCCTCCTCCGTCAAACTCCAATCTGTCGGAGCTGCGGCAGCTCACGACGCGCCCCGAAATGTTTAGCCTGAGTGCCTGTTTGCGTGCTAAAAAGCTTTGGCTTCGCTCCACTCTTTCTTCTGTTTTAAATTGAGCCACAGATCAATTTGCCAGTTGGCCTTCAGTCAGGACTACGAAGGACACACGAGGTCGTGTGTGCTTCGTGCACTTCCTCATTATTTCACAAAGTGTTGAGTCGTTATTTCACATAAATGATTTGAGTTGAAGTTTAACGATAAAAGACTGAAATATAGTGGGGTCTCCGGGGTCACCACAGCGGCAGACCTCAGCCATTTGACACTGAATTAGGGACTGAAACATGGACTCACCAGGCTGTTGAGCTCTGAGTCATCGTAGCTGTCCAACCGGGGAGTCCCAGGTTCACAGAGAGGCCCGAGACCTTCCTCGTCCCACATGTACGTCCCACCGGAGCTGTTGGAGGGCGACAGCTCCAAAGATGAAGCCTCGGGGTTTTCACCGAGATCGGAACACGAAACCAGTGGTTCCTGGGAGTCCTGTATCGGACTCTGTTCTTCACACCCTGGAGGTAACGAAGGAGAAAGTTGAAGAAGGTAAAGAACTTTTGGATTAAATAAAAAAAATGACATAAAAAAAGAGTGGAACTCTTTACCTCTCACGTCTGTAGTTTCCTTTGGATTAAATAAAAAATGACTTTTTTATTTATTTATTTTTTACCTCTCACGTCTGTAGTTTCTAAGTCAATGTTTTGGTGAGTTTGGGTGATGTCACCGTCCTTCCTGTTGTCAGGTGTGTCCCCGTCACTGAGCACATCGCCCAAACTGTCCAGGTCATCTATGAACTCTTCACTGGTCTCACCTCTGTCCACAGATGAGGCAGAGGAAATAGACATGTCCTCCAGGGTCTCACTTCCTGCGTGGACTGAGCTCTGCCTGAGTGGAGAGCTTCCTTCACTGTCACTCTGAAAGTTGTTCTTCTCAGCGTCAACAGGAGGTTGAAGGTTCAACGGCTCCGGAGCAGTTGAAGGTCTAACGTCCCCCTTCACCTTCCCCGGGAACAGAGGTTTCTGCTGCTTCGACTGAACAGATCTGGCCAGCTTGAAGCCCAAAGACCCCCCGTTGCTGTTGACTGATTTAGTCAGCAGGCAGCTGGGGAACAGAGGCTTCTTCAGGGCACTCAGAGAGGGGGGGGCCGCAGTAACCAGGGAGGTGTTTTGTGAAGAACTTCGGCTGTTGTTATTTCCTTCCTTCAACGTACCATCTGGATCGTCTAAACTCTCCAGGTTACCGTTCAGGCCCCCGAGTCTCAAACCCACTCTCCCGTTGCTCAGCTGAGGTGGTTTAAGGAAGGAACTACGAGGAGGTCGGAGCTGAGTGTTGGCCAGAGGTTTGGCTAGTTCCACGGCCCGATTGAAGGAGAAGGACCGCGTCATGGTCTGGTTGCTGGGAGAGGGAACCTGCTTGATGTGACTGAAGCTATGTGATCGCACTATATTGTCCAGAGCCACGGTTGGATCACTGAACTGGGAGAGGCTGTCCTGGGAACTGCTTCTAGAAGCGCTGGTTCCTAACTTTGGTCGGGCAAGGCGGGACTCAGACCCGGTCCTGGCAGACATGTATGAACCGTTTTGAGCCATTTTGGACCCGCTTTTTAAAGTGCTTTGGCTGAGCTTGGTTTCTGCTTTGGGACTCGTCTTTGACGGCTGTTTGTCGACGGCCTTAGGATTTGCTACGGTGGCCACTGACAAACCTGACCGGTGAATCTTAGGGGTGCCTGGACACCCGCTCTTCAACTGCTTTGCCAGAGAAGGAAGCTGTGTGTGAGCCTTCTCTGCTTCTCTGTTCGGAGGGTTCACGGGGTTAGTGGTAGGGCCGACCCCTCCCTCACCTCTTTTCCATTTCAAGGAAAAACCGGACGAACGAACCCCACCATTGGGCTGTGACCCTGCAGGAGTGGCTTTAGCGTCTGGAGCCGGGGTCGATGGCTGTGTGGAACCATTGCACACAACATTAGGACCGCAGCTTGAGAAACGTCCACCGAACTTAGGCAGCCTGGAAACCATGGCAAATGTTACGGATGCCTTTTCTTCCATGAGATTCAAACCAAGGCAGAGAGGACCGGGGAATCACATGAGACTAGAGGAACAAACAGAAAAGAAGAGACAAGGACATAGGTTAGGCCTAGTCAGTAGTTAGTACCTTTTTTATTACTTCTTAAAGTAAATTCTTAAGCCACTTTAACCACCTGAGCAGAGCAGAAATACACCTGCTGGTCACATGACGATACGTTTAAGGATCACTGACTGTGAGGAGCATTAGGTAATAATCCTTCAGGCTTAGTGTGCGACTTTAGACTCTGTCACGCAGATCTGTCTGAACTACATTTACACAGTGACATCAAGCCAAACTGCTCACTGACTTTTTTTAAAGCTACAGACATTTGATCGTCAAGGCGACAGGATGTTAAAATAGGCACAATAAAAAATGTGTTTTGTGATTCATATTTCATAGAAAACGCCAGTAAAGCTCGGCCACACAGATGTCTAAATGTTTAAAAAAGTTTTTGTGAGCAGCTCCAAATATATTCATGTCCCAAGGAACAGACAAACAGAATGACAAATGGCTTGACCGATGCACAACTGTTGAGTACGTAGGTGGTAATGAGGCAATTATTTTGTGATGGCAAATGTGATGATCTTGGTTGGCACCCAATTATTATTTCACCCAGGGCATCGAATTGGATACAGCTCATCATTCTGGCTATAATTGTTTCTATATCAGCTTAAAACTGTGAACCTACACCATATGCATATTAACACATTAAAGAAACGTCTGTGGGTTTAAATTGTTTTTTTCCCACGTGCGATGCGACCTGAAGCTGGCGGCAGATTCAGGCTCTAACTTGTCTGTGCCAACAAAAACAACAGGTACATGAGAAGACAACGCCTGCCGGGCAAAGAACCAGCGCCGGGAAAACGGCCAATTCACTGGGAACAGTGAATGGAGGATGCAGAACATATATGAAGCCAGCAGGGGGAGAACACAAAGCTGCTTCCATTCACTCACTGTGGCGTCGGTTTAATTCCACACAGTTTGTGACAAAAGTGCATGAGCGGCTTCGGCCAAAAGTTAGGAATTTAAAAAATCATTGACATTTATGCAGTATGGACTAAGAATGAAGCAAACTGTGACAATCACAGAAATCTCCACACACTGTAGAAATAATCCTCATGACTCCAGAGAGTCGGGGGAGGGGTATTAAGGTTCTGATGTGGGTATTCAAACCACATATACTCTATGACACCAAGCTGCCCCACATTTCCAAGCGCTTACTCACCCTCCACCCTCAGTCCTCTGGCCATCCCACTATGCTAATCTGCTTCATCGACGCACACGTAAAAATCAGGTCAATACATGCAGACAGCACAGACGACGCCTCTCAACAACTGTGGTCTGTGGATTCAAAGGGCAGTTTCTGTCTGAGTCACAAAAAAAAATGTCTTATTCATATCCAGAATCACAAAAACTATTTTATTTTCCAAAGTTCACATCAACACATAAACCACCTCCTTGGTAACTGACACACCATCAAAAAGAAAAACACAGTGACCATCTGTCAAACGCTCACATGTGAAGGTCTGATGCTCCACCCATGAGTACGATAGGGTAAATAAACACCAGACAAAGAGCTGCTGCTTTGTATATACCACAGCAACACAAGCATAAACACACATTATGCTGATGATGACACGGTTTCAGAGCGTAATGAAACAGTGGCGTTACATAAAGAAAAAGATTAGCCTTGTTTCTTTAATAATTCATTGTAATGACTTTGGTGGTGGTTTACTGAAAGTCTGATCTAATCAACAGAGAAAACACTCGAGTGGAGAAGGAAAACAAAGTGAGCAGACAGCTCTAAAGCAGACGATGACGGAGACGGACGGAGATGGAGAGACATCATTTAGTCCTTTTTACCACAGATATCTTTTCCTGGACTCAGTCTAACAGGAAATGGAAGCTTTCCGTCTCACTGGCAGCGAGGCCGTTCGGCCTTATTTAATTTCCACCAGTGGACAGATACGACAGAAATCACTTTGCGGAGACAGAAGGAAGTTTAAAACAGAGTGTGCAGGAGTTAGAGTTTCCCTTAATCTACTGGCTGAAAAATTCACTTTAGGCATGTGTGTGTGAGTGAGTGTGTGTGAGTGAGTGTGGGGGCAGACGGTCCAAAAACATTCTCCAGAAGCAGGAGGATGGATGCCCATCCGGAGCAGCCTGAGGGCAATGATCAATTGGGTTAGTGGGTCCACGTATTATAAAAATGGAGGTCCACAGATCCCCATCATTACAAACTGCAGTTGGAGTATAACCCCCCCCACACCCCACCCACCCGAGCCTCTGTCAGCCTGGATTCATCATTTCCCTCATTGAGTTCTTCCCACTGTGGAAGGATTAAGGTCAGGAGGTCATTTGACTTTATCCACACTGACCTCAGAGAAGGATGTGCTGCTGGTTTCCTGTGTTTTACAGGAATTATTAATACACATGACGTTCAACAAGAGAAAAACAAGAGAAAAATGTACTTCATTGAGTGCACAAAATATCATGCAAGTTATACGCAACATGAACAGCTTCTCAGTATTTGTTGCAGTATTTCCTCTTAATTCATTTTAACTTAATTATTTTCTTATTTGTTTAAATATAAATATATTTCTTGCTGAATAAAATATGAAAGGAAAATGAAAAAAAGAAAATCTCTCACAGACTTCCTGCAGTTTTTTTTTTTACTACTATTGTTTATAAGAACTTTTGTAATTAAAAAAATACACCAGGAATATTTGACTGAGAAAGTGCTGTAGTATATTAATATGGTATCGTGAAGCAAAATAATGCAGTATCTCAATGTAACAACAGAGATTGTACCTGTACAAATTCAACATGTGCAGAACAACCGGAGAAGACGACACACAAAGTCTGTGAAAAATGACTGAATCCCCTGTCGCCTCGTCTTAACCAAACTGCAGCCTAATTCAACATGCGCTGGCCGAGGCCAGTGTCTCAGTGGAGTAATAAGTAGAGCAGTCATCTGGACAGGGAGGTGGTGGCCCACGGCCGGCTCCCTAAAGAGATTAACAGAGTGCCATTAAAGCAGGCTAATGGAATGAGGCGTGGATGAAAGCAACACTGATGCTGGGTTAATGTGTATTGAGTGAAAGCAATACTGGGCCGAGCTGCTGTGATGCTGTGCTGCAAATCTAATGAGACAGCACTGAGCCCTGGGTGATGCTGGGTAATGCTATAAGGTAGATCAAATAACAAAAAAAACAAAAAAACATAAAGAGGGGAGTGAGTGTGAACAAGTCCAAATAAGTTCATCTGTACCATGTCAGGTACAACTGTGGAAGTACATGAGCAGTGACAGGTGTAGCATGTCGTAAACATAGATCCAAATATTATCAAAAACATATAGAGAAGTAGCCGTGTGACATAGTTGAAGAAGTTAATTGAATTCATTATAGGTTTAAATAATTGCATTTATTAATTAATTTATTTTTTATAATTTCATAATTTTTTTCCTGCACATCCTCCGACATTTCAAATACCAGACATACTGTATGTCAGCATTACTGCCATCTACAGGGCAAACTTTGTGCATTAACATTAGTAGTGTGCCAAAAATGAGTGAACTGCATAAATATTTTGCATTTTTAACATGTATTTTCTTCTATAATTATATAACTTTTAGCTTTTTTTTAATTATTTTTTTCTATCTTGTGCTGTAAACTGGAATAATCAACAGAAATGTCTCCCTTCAATCTATCTGTGCTTTTGCAGAGCCCCAAAATCTAAACCTGTTAATGTACAAAGTGAAGAACCTTCCAGAATGTTGCAGTTACAATCCTTTCAGTCCAACTTTGTCCTTGCCTTTTATTAATACAGAAAAACTAAACACAAACTGCTAACATTTGACTGACAGAAGCGTACATTAAAAACCCCCAAACGACTGACAGAAGCGTACATTAAAAACCCTCAGCTCCAGGTTTTCTTGCAAAGTAAAATACGAAAATATTACCTTGACACAGTGTTAGTCGTGTCAGTCAGAGGCGCCCACTTTAAACCATAACGTAAAATGTCTTTTCACTCTCAGTTTCAGCTTCATCATCTAAACTGAAACTCCGTCTCTGCCCCGGGAGAACGGTGTGAGGATCTTCTTGCTCCCTGGTACGCCAAACATGTGCCTGGGAATATGAAACTGGACATGTGTGTGTGTGTGTGTGTGTGTGTGTGGTATGTGCCTGTGGGGAATGAAAACTGGGATTTCGTGGGTGTGGGGATTACTTGATAGGGTATTATTCAGGAGTCACACCCAGACAAATGCAATAAGAGAACGTGTTTTTGAGAAAAAGAAATGAGAGAAAGTCCTTTAAAAATGGAGCACTCCACGGATACGATGTGTTCACTGACACGCGCTCCGGATGTGAAGAGGAAAAACACGTCATCCTCCGGATACTGGGAAATGTATTGACAAGGTAAAGTAGTTCCATATGAAACTAATGTCCTCTAATACAGTGAGATCACCGGAGGGTTTAACGCAGACATTTAGCTCCATATGAAAACTGACTCCAGTGGGGGAACTGTTGAGCATCTCATAAAGATAAAGCGTGTGTTCAATATCCCTGCTCTCATCCCAAGCTTTACAGCGTACTGGTTTCAGTCAGTGGAGAGCTAAGTGCCGACAGTAAAACCACACAAACATCACCGGTTCCTCAATATCTGCGCTTTATGATGGTCTGGGATGTGACACGCCTGAACGAAGCGTGGCGTGGAGCCTGGACTAAACTGCCGCACAACTGTCTGAGTCGGTTAAAGTAGATGAAGAATCATTTACACACAGCGCAACTTGTAAAAGTCACACAGCCCCGCCCCCAAAAGACAGGGAGGTCAAGGTGTTAAAACCAACTGGTTCCTTTTTAATTCATGAAAAAACAGAAGTTTAAAAATTGTTTTTAACAGCAACACCATCTCTCTCACCATCTTTGTCGTGTACACATGACTGTCCACCTCAACAGCACAGTTTTGTTCCAACGTTGTAGATTTGTTTTTGTTTTTTTTAACATGCAGCAGAATCCAACAACTTCCCAGAGATGCAGGATATTATCATATCTGTGTAGAAGCACAAAAATGTCCTAAACAGACTAAATACAGATGTCATGACGGTGAAATACAGTCATCACAAGTCTCCATAGGGTCCTTTGACTCATCCCTGAAAATAGTTCTGCCACAACCTTTCCAGGGAGAGGGAATGACGCCAAGCAGCAGCCATCCTGATCCAAGTCACCGCCTCAGCACAGCTGTCCACGCAGCTATCACCGTAATCACATTTCTCCTAAAACTCAGCAGCGTCTGCAGCACATACTGTAGAGCACACTGATCCAAAGCCCGTGCCTGTCTGCTCATCCTTATATGACCCAGCGATGAGCCGCTCTGTGACAGTGCTGCAGTGCTGTCGACAGCTCTTTTCACACCTGACGCTTTCACAGCAAGTCCCGTGTCTTAGCTGTAAACACTGGAGTTCACCTGACTGTAAATCACCTGCAGTGGGCCACACGCTTGCTGACATTATTATCTTTTTATGTGTGTGACAACTGCATTAACTGTATCCTAGCATTGTGTCGTGACTGTCAAGTGTAATAAAGTTAAGCAAAAGTTAGCATCTCCACTGAGTCGAAGACAATAAAATAAAAATAAACCCAAATGTACTTTTTTACTTTTCTACTGCTCACAAACTCATCTGTCCATGTGATTCATGTTTTTCTCCTGTAATACACAAAAACAAACAGCGGAATAAAACACGAACGGAGGAAGAAAATCAGGAAGTACAGAAGGTGGGTTTTACAACATGTCATAAAGACTGCAGCGATAAGAGGAGTGGATGTTAATGCAGTCGAAAATGAAACTTAAAAAAATAAATCATTTTTTAAGAATAATCAGATTAGAAACAAGTTTCACAGATTACCTCTTCTACAGAACAATGCACAGCACAGTGTGTTACAGCAGTTTTAATCCTTTACATGCATGTTCTGTCACATGACTCAAAATAAAACACACACAACCAAGAGAGACTCTGGGTCAGATAAATACGACCAAGGTTGCAGCTGTCGTCTGCTCATTTCTATCCAATACCAAAACAATGACATCTTCAACTCACTCGACCAATCACAGCTCAGCTGTCAAATTATTTGGATCAAGAAAGAATCTCAAAATAATTGCAAATATGTGCAGTTCCTGTACAACCAACCTCCAGTCCGAAATCTAAACGCAACACAAAAATAAACCAATGAATGTTTGCATGTTAATTGTTAATAAAAAAAAAATCGTTACAGCGCTGTAGAATATTGATACAGTATGTGTATCAATATTTACTTACCCTTCTTCACTTTTGATATAGATGTGTATCAATATTTACTTACCCTTCTGACAGTTGATATACAGTATTTATGGCATGGTATTTGAGTGGACTGTTCAAATAAGGTTACAATGAACAGGAAGTGGGACGATGGAAAGGAAACGCAGCTGGTACCTTTTAAATCCCATACTGGATGGGTTTCTTCACTGTAAATGAACAATGAACTTTTTGTTTTTAGGTCAACATCCTCTTTGTCAAACTCCCCTTGTTTCCTGTCTCCTTCCTTTTCTCATCCAATCCTTTTTCCTTCTCCCCCTCATCCCTCACTCCTTTCTCAGGCTGCATAGAAATATTAAGACTGGGACGGAAAAGTTAAAAAAAAAAAGAGCAACGGATTTTACTTTGAATAACACTTTGTTCATCACTGAATGTCTCTGTGACTCCTCTGATCAACCTGGACTGTGTGTTTATTCAAATGGGTGAGACTTTTCTGCCTCACCTTCAGCTCTACGCAGATGTTCACGGCTGTTTCCCGTGACATGTTCAATATTCCAACACAGAGTTCTGAATGAAAGTGTATGTGTGGACACCAGGGTGACTTCTCTCACTGACAGTGTCAGGTGTCACACTGGCCTCGAGCTGTGAGGAATAATTACATGTGGAATTGATTACATTACATAGCAGACATCCGAGTCCAACTCATCTCAACCCTGACCCGCTATTGCATCAGCCCACGAAAAAAACAAGTCATCCCCGTGTCAACTCAGGTCACAGTTGGTTGCTGAAAATCCCAATTTCAAATCAACTGCCCTCCACTAAAATAAAACACAAACATAAAACAACAGGGATGAAAAATATCAAAATACCACCACTGTACAGCATGAAAATCACAGTTGGTTGCTGAAAATCCCAATTCCCAACAAACTGCCCTCCACTAAAATAAAACACTATATAAAAAATAAAATAAAATAAAAATAAATAAACACAAATAAAACAATCAGCAGATGACTATGAAAAAAAAAAGATAGTCAGAGCTGTTGAAGAAGATCTTTGTGAGTGTCTTTCTTCAATTTCTGCCAGCGTCTATTGGGGTTGTCTTCAACTTAACAGGCCAAGATGTTAATCAATTATGAGGTCATTTAAACTAGAAGATTGTTATATTTCATTACATATATTTTTGTGAGATTTTTGTTTGGTGAAAAGGTTGGGAAAAAAAACTGCTCAACAGTGTGAACTCACTGTGACATTTTTTTTTTTTAAACTGATTTAAATTTTACAGTTAACAAGAACACCTGTCCCAGGTTCCTGATCCTAAGGCCATAAAATCAATTTAATGTTCCACGACTCTAACAATCCTAATTTTAAATTACCTCAAAATGAGAAAACACATCTGCCAAATTGTCCCTGATTAATGTGCAATAAAAAAAAAACAGCGTACTCAACGACCCAGCAGACATTTCTGAACCGCCTTCGTGGGAAAAGCCAAGTTATCAATAATGTTGAGGGTGGCAGCTCTCTTCACATCATCCTGGTCTCAGTGCCAGGATTTAGTGCCGACCAGCAGAGGATGATGTGGAACCGTTCTGACCATAACTGTTCCATCTGTGCTCTCCTGAAACAGAAACAACTGTTCCTTTTACCTCTGCAATAACTGCCATCATCCATCCAGTTAGACTGTACAGTGAAACATCTGCTGCTGCTAAACTTTACAAAGGCTTCCTAACAAATTCTACTCCCCAAACGTCCTGAACTAACACCACCAACGCAGCTGGCATTTTAATTTAAAAACTGTTTTTTTTTTCCTGGCCATTATTCTTCATTATTCTTCAGCCTGTTTATGTTGGCTTGGTGTGAATTGTCCAAGCGTGAGTAAAACAGGGCCTGAGCGTGAATGTGAGAGTGAATCCGAGTGTGAATGGTTGCTGTTGTGATGCACTGAGCATAAGTCAGAGATAAAAACAGGTGTGAAACACATACATCAACCTGCTGTTACAGCAATATACAAAGAATACAAACATATTTAGCTATGTTGATTTATCTAGATTAATCATGATTAACTGTAATGAATCCACAACTACTATGTGAATAATATGATTTAAAACTGTAATGATTGACAGCCCAAATATACATTTTAATTCTTCTCATCTCATCAACAGTAAATGTTTCCTTCTAAATGTCCAAGTTCAAATGTGGCCTCTTGTTTCTCTGAGGATTCTGTCTGTAAACTCTGCTCCACACTGGTCTATTCAAAGCCGACCAACATCTGTGGACCTGACCATGGAATGGCAAAACTGATAAGTGGAGATAAAAATAGCTTCAATGACAGACATCACACAGAGAGGGAGTGAAACTGAAGGAGGAGAGAGCACAGAACGACCGGGCTACTGTGTCAAAGTCAAACGAAACCACATGGTTTCCAGCATCGCACCACCAAACGTGACCGTGCAGAAAGTTAGGAAAAACCACAGGGTTTGATCCTGGATGACCTCAAAAAAAAAAAAAGACAGCCAGACAACACACACACCCACAGTCCACACAGAGCTGTCACACACCAGACTGGACATACTGGGGGGTCTTCAGTGAACAGGTGTACGGCAGTCAGCTGCTGTTGCGGGAGAGTCCCATTGTAAACACACCCTCGGTTACGGAGCTGCTCCAGGACCCTGGCAGACAAGTGATGAAGGAACACACACATTGATCTGCGTGTTTAAACACAGCCCAGCCCAAACAGTGGGTCACCAGAGGAGTGGAGCTCTGCCCTGTCTGACCATCTGTCAGTCACCGTCACACTCACAACCAACTCACAAATCCACTGACAGATGCTTCAGTTATTCAGGTATAAAAAAATCTCCTGAACAACAGTGAGACTTTTCCCTCATTCACTTATCTTGAGAAGCCACGTTGTAAACAGTAAACAAAAATGTTACGTAAAAAGCCTGGAGGTCAACGTTCACGGTACGGTGGGTCTCTGAGGGAGGGATTGTTGTGGCCGTGGGAGGGCAGGGGGTGGAGTGATGTGATGTGGGGGTAAAATATGGCTTCTTCTACTTCAATGAAGAAAACCTTCCACAGCATCACCTCGAGCACTGCATTTTTTTTCTTTTTTTTCCCATATGATCTACAGCAAAATATGGCAGCCATGAATAACTGGAGGAATACACGACCACAGCCAGGTCACAGGCAATAAATCAGAGAAATGTCCAGGCTCATAAAACAGGAATTTTTATGTTAAAGGTTTGATGTCAACTGCTTCAAAAATATCATCTTGAATGTCTGTTGTGTGGAGTCGAACATACACTGTAAGGTGTGTAAAATAAAGGGTTATTCAGTCGTTTCCATTTGAACTTTAACCTTCATCTCTGGGATCTCCCTCCTGATACAGTACACCCCTCCCTGGGGTTTCAAAACCAAGGGGGTATTGAACCGACAATGTTATACACAATAGACTAGAATTCCTACCATTGAATACAATGAAATCATAATAATATAAATGAACATTTAATGTTTGGTCACTCAAAACACAAAATGTCTGATGTATGATGCCCACAGCTGACCACTCTAGACTGAACATTTAATGTTTGGTCACTCAAAAAAATGTCTGATGTATGATGCCCGCAGCTGACCACTCTAGATCCGGCCCTGGTTGGTTGTAGGAATGAATGGAGAAGAGACTGACTTCACTAACCTGGGTTTGAACCAACAACTAATGTTTTGTACTTACCCCAGATCACTGGATTACTCCGTAATGGTCACAACTGTAAGTTCGACGACGACTCCATCTGTTCTCTGCACCGTCACGGTGTGGAAGACAGAGCTGTGCTCCACTAACTTTCAGTTTAAAAGCACTTTGATCAGTGATGGAAGTTTAGCTTTAGCTCATAGCCGTTGCTCCAAACACAGCAAGTTCAATGAAACGCTCTGGGGGGGAAACTGCGTGAAAATACGTCACGGACTCACTTGTGTCGAATTTAAAAAAAAGTCGAACAAACACGTGAGATAAAACGTTAACATTTAGTTCAGGTATCAACTGTTAACCGTCAAGTAAACAGACGTTAACCACGGGCGGGTGTTCATCACCGAGCCGCTAGTTTCACGGCGTCAACATCGAGCAGCGGAAGAAACCGAGAGCGTCCGAAAAGACACGAACGAATGTAAACAAAAACGAATAGACTGCGTTTAAAAAAAGTACAACAAAACGTAGCGAGAGAAAGGAAATGATGAAGGCAAATATGGAGTCACCGCCGGGTCCACACTACACCATCCGTCCCAGCAGCACTTCATCAAACACACCATGTCCTCTCGTCTCCAGCGGGGCGGAGTTAACAGCTGTCACCTGGGTCTCAAAGGGCTGCTGATCCTGCCCTGACTCCATCTGTGGTCACTCATTTGTCGTCCTATCTCCATGTTTACTCCTGTGTAAATCCAAGATTATATACATTATCGTTTAAGTCAAAAAAAGATGGAATAATTTGAAAAAAATAAAAAAAAAACTAACAACTAAAGCATGTTTAGACATGTCTTTCGGGCGTTTCCAAGTGGAAGTACTGCTGTTATTGTTAACAACGATAATAATAATGTTTTTTATTATTATTATTTATGGATGCATTAAAGTTTAAAGTTAGGTCAAAACAATTCTACGGACTCACTGGATGAGACAGCATTTGTGGGACAGCAGTAGCAAAACGGACGTTAGTTATCATAACCACTAGAGGGCAGCATTTGCCATTTAATAGTCTTGACGCTTATGCAAGGTCATCTGCTGTTTTTATTGCTTCACAAAAATCTATTTTTTCTTCTGTGTTTTGCTTTTACACACACGAAAAACAAACACACACGTATAGAGGAATACTAAGGGATTTTCAAAATAAGACACAGTTTCTCCACACACTCCTGCTGGATCTTAAATCACCAAAACAACAAAATCTTCTCTCACATTCCACCAAGCAACGACTCTAAAGTACACAGTAACGTGTACCATCACAGTACTCAGATACCTGTCCAAACACCAACATGAAGAGATGAGAGGCAGGGAGGGTGAAGTGGACAGAAGGGGCTGGATTAAGAAAGAATGCAAAAGAAATAGACGGATCAAATGAAAATAAAATGTTCAGAGCTCTTAAGAGGGCTGTAACAAAAAAAAAAAAAAAGAACTCGCTCTGAGAGGAGTCCGTGAGACGGGCAGAGAAAGGAATCTGGAGACAACGGGGAGTTAAATAACCGGAGACACGCAGGAGACAGAGGTTTGTGGAGGAAAAAGGAATCATTAAAGATCACCTGTTGGGATGAAGAAATGTAGCTGTAGAAACTGTAGCTGGATGTTATATGTATTTCAGGAATGGGAATTGACTTTTTAAGACGTAGTGATACTGTGTTTTTGAATATAAATAGAAGTGTAAACACAGTTGTCTGTGAAAGTGATTCTTTCCTGGTTTTATTTTACTGGTCTTGACTTGTCGTCCACCTGCAGGAACAACTGATGTATTTTGTGACTCAGTCCATGTGTGAACCATGACCCTGAGCTTCACCCGTGCCCTGATTCTGCTCCTCAGTCTTCACACTTGTTCAACTGTGGTGAGTGGGATTACGGCGGCAGTCTGAGCGGAGTGGAGTAACCACGATCAAAACATCTTTAAATAATCAACTATTTGGGTTCCACTGCTGCAGCTGTGGTTTCAATAACAGTTAAATTAACACTGATGAAATAGTCAAGTCTGAATAAGATGAAGTTTGACTTTTTTTTCCAACATCCTGACAGTTTTTCATGAATTTATAATTTTAACATCTCTGAACAATAATTAAAAGGGAAAGGTAGAGAATGCTCCTCCTCAGCCTTAGGAGTTGAAGGAGTCGTGTGTCTTTCTGTGGGACTGAACTGGTGACTGTTATATATTCAGTTCATCAAATTTACCCCGGTGACCCACTTCCAGGTCACAACCCACCCTTTGGGTTTCTAGATTTAAGAACATTCCTGCACTTTCTGATTCCCTGACGACATTTTGCTGCAGTGATGGCAGTTGTTTGGTGACGGGTTAAGGCTGGTAGAATGTGGCTGCAGTAATTTGGGTCAGTGGTGCACCTGTTTCCCATCTGAGGGGGCTTCAGGGGGCAGATGGGGTGCTGGCGAAGACTACAAAGTTACTGGGTGAGGAGCGAGAGCCAGTCTGTGTGTGTGTGAGAGAGAGAGAGAGAGAGAGAAGGGAGCTGCATGTGATGTATAACACATTCCATTTCAACTGTGGATTCAGTTTCACGGCAGCAGTTTTTCTGCAGCCGACTGGACTGAAATCCTGACTTGTCTGGACAACGACCACAGCACAGATCATAGATGAGTCTGAACCGGCCGAAAAAACAGACAGACAGAAGTTGACAGACGTTAATAAAAAGTAAGCATCGGTGGAAGTGAGTTCAGTTCAGGCCGGACGAAACCTGCTAAATATTAGTCTGTTGCATGAACGTTGGCTCTAAGAGAGAGAGACGTGCTTGGATATCCTAGATCCTGTCCAGTTAGGGTTAGAGTAAAGATTAAAAATAGAGTTTTTTAAAAAAATATTTAAGGTCAAAATAAGGAGGAATAAGGACATGAATTATAAAGTACCTCTCTGTGTGTGTGTGTGTCCAGGGAGGAAGAGCTCAGCGCAGACAGAGACAGGCTGAAGTTGAGGAGAGTCTGAGACCGTACATTGGCAGAGTACAGCCTGGTGAGATATATATTTATAAAACATATATATATATAAATTGTTGTTTTCTAATTCTTATATAAGTTTCTGCATATAATAATTGTTTCTCGTTCACAGAGAAACTTTGTGAGTTACTAAAATGCAGTTTTCCAGTTGGATCTTGGTGCCAAGTGGTTGAGGAAAAAGGAGACCTGGTCCCAAAATGTGTGTGTCCTAAGTCCTGTCCACGGTATAAAAAAAACGTCCCTGTGTTTGTGATTTTTTTTTTTTTTTTAAAAAGCAGTACTTCATTAAGTCCAGCAGAGTTTGATTTATTCGCACATTCTTCTGCATGTGGACACTGACCCCTGAAATCAGGCAGAGGGCGCCAGTGTGCAGCGTTGTGGGCAAGACGTATACCAACGAGTGTCTGCTGCACAAAGAAGCCTGCAGAAAGAGAAGACGATCCGGTCTGGCCCACACCGGGGCCTGTCTGGGTGAGACTCACACAGCATCACGTCCTTCACAGAGAAGAAAAAAAATTCAAATAAACCTGTCTGATCTGTGTGATCCCTCTGTAAGTCCCCCAGGCCAAATGCAGTGATGAAGAATTAGGCCAGTTCCCATATCGACTCCTGGACTGGTTTCTGCTCCTCAGTCGTATGGGCCGCTTCCACACACCTGCCACCCCCCCTCAGAGATGCCTCAGCCACACCCAGAGGACTCGCCTGGCACAGGTACTGTTGGAGAAGGCTTGTTTACAGGGTAGACTGTGACCCCGGGTTAAAGATTAGGCTGTTGGGGGGGGTGAGGGGCAAACACGAAAAGTCTCCCACTCAGACCACGGCTTCTATCTGGAGTTAATTACACGAGTGTTTCACGGAGGTTTTAAATTTAAAAAGTAATTTCCTGTTAGGACGTCAACAGAGTAGTTCCACTATATATATATATATATATATATATATACAGTTTATACACACACACACACATATATGTATATATACACATATATATAATATATATGTATATATACACATATATACATATATATGTATATATATACACATATGTATACATATATACACGTTTGTGTGTATATATATACACATATATACATATACATATATACACATATACGCACATATATAGACACATATATACACATATATAAACACTTTTCCATTTTTGGGTTCACAGAGCTAGAACCAATCACAGCAGTCATAGGGTGAAGGTGGGGTTACATCACAGCGTCACACACAAGTGTTTAAACCCACAGGAGCTCCAAAGGGACTCAAACCTGTGACCTCAAGCTGTACGGCCAGAGCACTAACCGCCTAACCCACTGTGTGGCCCCCGTGCCGCAGAGTGACCCACATGAACCAAAGGAAGTCCACTGGTATTATCAGATTGATGATCTTTTCTGAATGACCTCAGTCCTGGAGGAGCAGGATGAAAATCAATAACCATAATAATCCTCGCTGCTGAAGGAGCCGCGGAGAGAAGGAAGAACACACCAGGAGATTCATTTCACTCCCGGAGCAGCTTAACACTGAACATAGAGTTGTTTTTGACACCAGACACCATCACCGTGACCACGGGTCTTCACCAGTGTGGAGAGAAATCGATGGTAACAACTTACTGTAAGTGCTGAGTTCTAGTGTTTCTGGAGGCGTGGTCTTCAACTGACTGACACTCAGGGTCTTAAATCAAACAAAGAACTTGAACAGGACTTTGTCAATAAACACTAATAATTACTAAGATGATGAAATACATAAAATTCAAATACTCAAACTCCAAATTTGGGTGGATGTTGATATGAACTGATGAGCTGATTCTTGGATGTGTAAATATATGCATGTATACATATGTATGAGTGTATATATACAGTATATACATATACAGTATATATACATACGTATATGTATACATATATAAATATACATATAAATATATCGTCAAATATATACATATACATATATATGTATTATTACCATTTTACATACAGGAATATATATATATATTTACATATATATATATATTCCTGTATGTAGACATATATTTTTCAATATTCCTAATTTAATATAAAATATTACTTATAATATATATAAATAGATAGTCTGGAACTCAGTCCATTTTTTTTCATGGCTACTTTGAGTCACTTGTCCAATGAGGAAGTTCTTCTGTATTGAGACCTAACGATTCTGACCAGTCATTGATGTCGTCGCCGACGCTGACGTAAATATTCAGGGACTTTTTTTTTTTAAGGGTGTTTCCTGGTACGACAAGTTATTGAGACCTAACGATTCTGACCAGTCGTTGATGTCGTCGCCGACGCCGACATAAATATTCAGGGCCTTTTTTTTTTTTTAAAGGGTGTTTCTTGGTACGACAAGTTGTGGGTACAATGCCTTGGAAGTGCCAAGGTGACCAGGCACACAGTACATGGTTGGCTGTCAAAGTCACATGTCATTATCCCGTTTGTCCCTCTGTGGTCACAGGAACGATTCACTCTGCTGGACCGGAACCAGGACGGAAAACTGAGCCGCCGGGACCTGAGGAAGCTGAGATATAAACGGATGCCTCTGGAACACTGTGCTCCGCAGTTCTTCAAGTACGTTGACAACAACAGAACTGCAGTATTACAGTATTTCCTATGATCTCAGCGGAGGCATGTGATTGGTCAGTAAGAAGACGACGGCACTGGTCACATCATCTGTTACAAACGCCCTCACCCGGTGTTCACATGTCAGAGGGTGAGACTTCTTCACCGTCACTCCCACCGTGTTGCGCCTCCCACCATGCTGCTCTCTCTGCGTGACATTTACTCCTCCATCCGCTGCTCCACTCTAAACCCTGCTCCTCCTGTCTGTCTCCCCCCCATCATGTCATGATCTCTCCATCCCCCATGAGACTTCTTCACCGTCACTCCCACCGTGTTGCGCCTCCCACCATGCTGCTCTCTCTGCGTGACATTTACTCCTCCATCCGCTGCTCCACTCTAAACCCTGCTCCTCCTGTCTGTCTCCCCCCCATCATGTCATGATCTCTCCATCCCCCATGCTCCTCCTCCACCTTCAAACACACACTCCTCCGTCTCCCTGCTTCTCCTTCCCGTTTTCCACAAATAGCTTCATCTTCAGCCTCTCGTCTCCCTCATGTTTACTCTCCTCCACCTCTCCTCTGTCCTCACCCTCGTATCCTCCCATCCCTCAGTCAGTCTGCAGTGACAGGCGGCCGGTGTCAAAGTCAATGATAATGTTTATTACTCGCTGTGTCTCCCGCCGTCCGAGGATTAACGCAAATGGAAGGAGTCGCCGTCGGAAGAAACGCTCGGGGTGAAAAGAAAGACAGAGGAGGCGTTAGAGTGTGTGTGTGAAGTTTTACTTGTGTGTGTTTGCCCAGTCTCTCTGTCAGGACCACACCGTGAGGTCACGGCCTCTGACCCTGTTCTGTGTTCTCAGGTCATGTGACTACAACCGCAACAAAAAGGTGACCCTGACAGAATGGACCAGCTGCCTGGTGGACCGCTCCGAGGCCTGGTTCTACAGATTCATGTGTCAGTTACCGACTATATGTACACAACACACACAAACACACACACACACACACACATGCAGAGTCCCTAAAGATAAAAACTACATGATAGAAAAGATCTTGAACCACGCTGTGTGAGAGGTTGTTGGTTGAATTCTACGCAAACTGAGAGGAAACCATTGAGAATATTTTATATATTTTTCATCTTTGTTTCACTTTTATTTCCTCATTCTTTTGATGAGAGCAGGCTTAGCAGGTGGGAGGGGCTACTGCAGGTAGATGAAATACAGCCCTAAACCATAACAGAGTGTTAAGTAAAGGGTCAAACAGACTAAAATTTTTTTTGAAACTACAAATCTTAGATATATATAATATTAATGTAAAAGTAAATTTCTCAAAGTTTAAAAACTTTTTTCGTCTTTTTTTTTTCTTTGTTTTTATCCACAGCAGTGAAAATGGGTTCCGGTGAACTGTGTCCTTCAGTCAAAGACAACAACGTCTGACATGAAGTGACCGACCATCAGGCCCTGCAGCTGTGAGACCAACGTCATCATCATCATCATCATCATCATCACACCTCCAGTTGGATCTCCACAGCTGTGGGTTCCGACTCCATCACTTTCCCTCCGCGTTGTCATTTTGTCCCAAATTGATTTATGAAGTCGTCAAATGTGAAAGTCTGTCGCCGCGGCCGCCCGTGCGTTCATGTGTGACTGTGATGGGACTAATAAACGTCTAGACAGAGTGACCAACAGCAGTACTCTTAATTACTTCAGCTGACATTTGTGTTGTGCAGCGGAGGAGACAATCGGGCCGGACGATAAAGTAGGAGCGGTGGAGGAGAAACGGAACGACGATGAGGAAGAAGAAGAAGCTGAGGAGGAAGAGGAGGAAGGACGTGAGCAGGGGAGAGACAAAGGGATAATAAGGTGGAGGGGGGGGCGAAGGAGAAAAGGACGGGAAAACATCATGACGGCACCTCATGTAGAGGAGTGAGTGAGTGAGTGAGTGAGGAGAAGGAGGCACGAAGGAAGCAGGGACGAGGGGGGGGGGGGAAAGTACCAAGGGTACCAAGAGAGGGGGGGGGGAGGGGGAGGTAATGCACCGTAAATGGGAGTCGCGAGTAATGGAGTAATGCATAAAAAATGGATCAGAAATGAGTAGAAGACTGAGACGTAAGGGAGGGAGAACGAGGGGGGGGGGGGGGGGGGAGGGGGAGGTAATGCACCGTAAATGGGAGTCGCGAGTAATGGAGTAATGCATAAAAAATGGATCAGAAATGAGTAGAAGACTGAGACGTAAGGGAGGGAGAACGAGGGGGGGAGGGAGAACGAGGGGGGGAGGGAGAACGAGGGGGGGAGGGAGAACGAGGGGGGGGAGGGGCAGCTGTGAAGGCAGGAGGAGATGGAGGAGAGGAAGGAGGAAAAGAAGGAGAAAAAAAAAATCTTTTGATGATGAAAAAAAAAAAAAAAAACACTTTTCCACAGTCGACACTGTAAATAAGAGGATGGAGACGTTTCAAAAAAAAAAAAAAAAATTCTCGTCCTCTCTCAAGGTCGAACTCACATTTGCATAATGCCGACATAAGCTGAGTGAATTTATATGCATGTGTAAAATGCATAATATATGATATTTTAAAAAAATCATGGTTTTATCTGATTGGTTTTCCTTAATCTGTGTGTGTTTGTGTGTGTGTGTGTGTGTGTGCGTCCCGTGGTGAGTTCTTTGGTCGGACTGTTTTCTCTGAGCTCATTAGAATTCAGAGGAAGAACCAGAGGCAAATATGAAAGAGTTCCAGAACTGAACCGACTCTACTGCAGCTGACACGTCCAGAATTTGGCTTTGTGTGACCTTTGACCTCAGCCCTAAAATGAATCTGCCTCTCAGTGATGAGGTGCGAGAATCATCATCACCACGTTATTATGGGATGGCTCTCAGCCTGCAGCTGTTTCTGGAACTTTCCGTGAAGCGTTTAATTGGTTTAACTGTGGCTGTTCAGCCAATTAACCCTGGACTGAACTTTGACCCAGTTTAGCACAGTTAGCATAATCGTAATATGTAGTTATTTTGGCATTAATTGATTTTTTTTTACTTGTATCTTTAGGGTATTCCATGAATATTTTAGTTTAGTTTAGTTTTTTTTTTCAACAGTCATTAGTGTGAACTTTAGAGGGTAAGAAATTAAAGGGAAATCTGGTTAAATTAATTAATTAGCCAGTAATTATCAGGAGTGTGTTTGGGCAAGAAACTGGCGATACGATACGTATCACGATACAGTGACAACAATATGATATATTGCGATACGATAGGTACAATGATGTATTGAGGGGAATATTTGTAATATTTGACTGGGAATTGGTGATAAAAAAAATCAATACACTGATGGAGGATATTGATATGGTATCAGGAAAAGAAATATCACAGCCACCTGGTGGTCACCTCAGCTGGTTGTTAGACTTGTCCACGTCCAGCATTGACGACAATATCACAGCCACCTGGTGGTCACCTCGGTTGGTTGGTAGACCTGTCTATGTATTATGTCCCTTAATTAAAAGTGGGAGGTTGTTAAGACCACCGCTGGAGGTCTGGGACTCCCCCACCTCCTCCTCCTCCTCCTTTCTTTGTCTCTCTTCTTACTCCCTCCCTCCTCCCCCCCTTGTGTGTTAACAGGTTCTCTAATTACCTCTGGACCATTGTTTGCACCTCCTTCTGTCTCCTCACATCCTCATACAGAGAGGTCAGCTCGAGGTTGGTTCACCTACTTCACACACACACACACACACACACACACACACATTAACACCCTCACCTCCTGTCACACTCCATTTGGATATTGGAAGCAGGAGATATCCGTGAGCCACCCACCTCTCTAACCTTGTCCTCCCCCTTCTCCTCCTCCTCTGGGTTCTGATCAGTGATCTGATCTGTGATGGCTCGCTCACATCTCCCTCTTCTCTCGCACATTCAGACACACACTCCCCAGGGACGCTGACAGCTCGGGAGCAGATGGGCGGCTGGTGATGACATGCAGTTAAAAATAAAGATTCCAGTTAACCCGTTGTCAGCTTACACCCGCTACCAGCCTTCCTCCCCTCAACCCCCTCCCCCACCCTAACCCTAACCCTAACCCTAACTCTGGCCCTAACCCTAACCCTACCCCCACCCCAACATTTGTTTTGTAGTTAGTTTTATTATTTTTTCAGAGTTTTTTTGTATTTTTCATTTTAATTTTATAATTTTTCTTTTATGTACTTTATCAAGCTCGCCTTAGTTCTATTTTAAAGTATTTTCATTTAAAATTCATTTTATTATATAAGAACTCCCTGACCTCAGGACGTGATATTTAATACACGCTCGTCATAAAGACAGACCTCTACATTATGCATGGCTTATAAGCACACATCCATAATAGATGAAAAGACCGCCAGGTTTGCCGCTTCTTTTCACACACACTGCATGTACAGACTACAGTCTACAGACAGGCTAAGTCATGTGACAGGAAGACAAGCCCAAATTTTCTTGAGCCACAGCACAGCACCAAACAAAAATCTCACAAAAAGGTCTATGTAATGAAATATAATAATTTTCTAGTTTAAATTGACTAAAAATGGACTCCTGTTTAGTTGAAAATAAAGATCATATACCGGCAGGAATTGAAGAAAGACACTCACGTCACACACATCTTCTTCAACAGCTCTGATTTATCTTTTTATGAGTTTAACAGCCATCTGCTGCCACCTAGCAGAAAATGATTTAATTGCTCTCCCTGTCACGCATTGATAAACAAAGAAAAAAAAATATTTGTAATAAATAAATAATAGTTTGACCTGACACCTGATTAGTTAATCAACAGGCCGACCAACCATGAAAAAGGCCGACCATGAAAAAACACCTAGAGTTTGGAGCCTACCTCTGCAGGCCAGCAGTGGTACTGCACCATCAATGCCATAAACAGACAGCTTCGTGACTGATGTGTGAGTTCCAGAAAACTGTTTTTTATTGATGTGCTACGTGGATTCTAAAATAATCTGACTGTCAAACGACGATGAGTGAAATTGTTTTTCAGTTCCACCTTTTGGTTTTGTTTTTTTTCCTGTGGGTTCAGTCTGTCCACCAACTGTATTTGAATCAAATATTTAACACAGCAACGCGCGGAGAGGGGTGAGTGTTTGGGTGGGTGGGCTGCAGGATCAAAAGACATATTTAGGCCAGGCGTGTGTGTGTGCGTGTGTGTGTGTGTGTGTGTGTAAGACACATGTCCAGCACATGATAGAATTCTAACAGAATAAATGTGGTAAAAAATATTCTTCCGGGATAAAAAAATGTTTTAATCAATCCTAATAACATATTAATTACAGCAGATTTCCTGTGACAGAAATCAAATACATAAAAACTCAACCATGTTCTGACCTCTGTGTCCACTCCATGACCCCACTCATCTAATAAAAATAAATACAAATACAGAATGCTTAGAATTTAAAAGTTTTAGCTAAACTTGTAAAATGCTGCATTTGCCAACACCTTCCACTTGTTGGCGCTGAAGAAATGTCCACTGTTTGACTGTTCGACATGCATGAAACAGAAAAATTGACTTCAGTCTTTACCACACCTCGAGGCAGTGTTGGTCGGGCCAGATTAGAAACCACAGTGGGCCATATCTGGTCCACAGGCCTTAGTTTGCCCAGGTCCTCTGGGCCTCAAACCCAGGACCTTCTGTGTGTAAGGCAGATGTGTAAACAGGTGTGATAACTGTGACACTACGGAACCACTGAAGTAAATGTGGCCCACATCTGCTGCAGCCCAGAACCAGAACCAGAACCAGAACCGTCATCTGTCTGAGGTTAATTAACATCCAGGCTTCAAAAAAACAGAAATCCTATCTTTTTCTGGCAGATTGCAGACTCTCAGAACTTTCAGAACTTCTCCCAGAGTAAAGTGGGCCAACTGTTGGACAGGGACCCGGGGAGTGGGACGGGTCACTTTGAAGGCCCGTCCAGCTGCAGCTGTGGTTCCTGAGATTAAAAAGAAATTGCAGTGGTCACTGG